CTCTCTCTCTTTCTCTCTCACTCTCTCTCTCTTTCTCTCTCTCACATACCTTGTAGAGATGTTCATACGTAATCGAGCTGGAAAAAGGCAGAATAATATCACATCTATGAATTTCGACAAGATTCTCACAAATCCAACACTGAATAATAATAAATTTTTTGTCTGTCACATTAATCGTATCACGTATCATCTTTACGCAAATCTTTACCACTCACATACGTTTGATCGATTTACTAACGAATTTATCAGTTTGTTATTATTAATCACTACCGATTAATTTATTAGCGATTGAGAATTGACTCGAGAAAGAAACACATTACAATAATCAAGGTTTTCCTCCTTTTATAAATTGTATCGCGTATCAATAATTTCACGGATTTATCCACGCACTTGATTGATTTTTACATACGAATCTTTTACATACAAATCGATGAATCACTCCCGATTAATCATTCAGCGACTGAAAATTATTGCTTGATAGAAAGAAACACATTGCACACAGTAATTGTATTCAAAAGTTTTCTTTCTTTTGTAAATTGTATCACGTATCAATACCTTCAAGGATTCATCCGATTTTTATAAATGAATCTATTGGCTTGTTAAGCGTTAAAGAGAGGTGGGGGGGGATACGCGTGTATTATCTTGACACGCGTTTCATACGTAGCAAGCAGCTGATTGCAATCGGGCGCCTCGCGTCGGACGATGAGTTGCGTCGCCCCTGCCTACCTTCCGTACGCGACCGTGATTTGCTAACTTTTTTCCCTTGTAATTAAAAAACTAAAGCTTCGGATAAAATTTTAACTAAGGAAGAAATGTCTTAGAATCACGTCAGGAATACATTATTTTAAAGACAAACGCGTTTTCTGAGACACTGTATATACGAGTATGCGTCATTTCCATGTCAAGATATCGATTATGTCACATTTTTCCTATATAGAGGCTAATATTTTTAATAGTAAAAATGTTCACGTTTTACGTTTCTATAATAAAAAAAAACATGATTTTATTTTAGAAATTACAAAACCAGCGATATTACATTTAATTCAACGTTTCCTGAAGCAATAAGAGTCTACGAATGATTGCCACAAGCCGAGAGGTCATGTGCACTCAATGAACTTTATAGTATATTAGAGCCTTTCTTATACTAAATCGTAAAAAAAAACTGTGGTTTGATGGAAGAAAGGAAGACATATAAAATATTTTTCTTTTTGTCTCTTTATTATTTATAGCAGAATATTAATTAACAAATCTCTGACAAAGAAAACACTACAGCATTTGTATTAGAGCAGGCCTGTCCAATTTCAGCTCCGATGCCAAAACGCAAAGCCATCGATGCAAAAATCAATATGGGTAAAATTTCGGGGACTGCAAAGTATCGATATACGTCTGAATGATCACGCTTATCAACACTTTATAGTCCCTGAAATCTTACATTGAATTTCGATGGCTTTGTGTTTTGGCTCCGAAGTTCAAATTGGATAGGTTTGTATTAAAGTGTCATTGAGTGGTATTCACAGCTTATATTTAGAACCGTCTTAAGATATCATAAACTAATTAAGGAGCCGTATTTGTCTTAAGACATTACTTAAGACGGTCTTAAAATAAGAGCTATTGAATACCGTTCATTGTCTAGGATTTGGGACACTTTTTGACGGCTTACTTCAGTATACGTATATACTTTCAGTACATGTACTCGTATACATATAGATCTCATTGTGTTCAGTATGTTCAATTATTTTTAGTTCGTAATTCAATTATTTTCACGTGTTGTCTTGTCGTAAATTTTTTTATAATTAATTTTCAAAGAACAAATTCTTTAAATCTGAAAGGAAAATTTAAAAATAAATAATAGCAAAAAGTTATTAAATTTTTAAATGTTAAAGCGATTAATGTGATCCACTTTGTATATAATTTTACATATAATTATGGTATATACTATAGGTATAGTAAATACTAGAGGTGTGCGAGAACTCGAAAATATCAGGAACCCGATGATTAGGACGGGTCTGGAAGACATCAGATCAAGTCAGATCGGGTCTCGAAAATTTCGAGATTCTCGACACCTTCGAGAACCCGCGATTCGATCCCCCGACAAAAATTTCCATCCCGATCCGATCCGATCTATTCGAATTTCGAGTTCTCGCACACCTCTAGTAAATACTATGGCTGCGTTCCATTTAATGCTCGTGGAATCTTTGTCATTTATCAAATGTTAAACAAGAATAAACGATGCTCTTAAGCGTTGCGAGCGTTAAGTATAACGCAGCCTATATAAATTAGTACCAATAAAAGTAAATTAATAAAAAATACAACACATTTCTCTCAGTTATTTTATTTTTGTTTAATTGGATTCCTGATAAAAAAATAAAAGTATATTAGATTCCGCAATTCTCATATTGTAATGCTATCGTGCATTATTTAAAAATTTAGCTAATGACAGTTATTTTTCACAGTATATATGCCTGTTTGTGATTATTATACAGCAAATTTATACCTTTTTCTAAGAGATTCATTTTGTCCAGAGCCTTCAAAAGACCGATGTGTTCGTAATAATGTCCAAGTATCAAGTAAACTAGAACATATGTACATAATTTACAATTGCGCGATAATTAGAACTCCTCTTTCTGGTTTTTAATCTGTGGTATTTGCTTTTTCAAATCGTGATTGCTAAATCGGTTACGTTTAAGGCTCCTGAGTAGTCACCACAGTCATATTGAACCGTAATGTCAGAAGCGAGGAATGACACGTTAATTTATGTTGCATGCCATTTGTAACTAAAGACAATTTGGATAAATCTAAATGATAAGATTGCTGTAAAACATTTGTAAAAATCGACAAAAGTTATGCTTATCTCCCCTGACAGTCAGTAAATAATCGTAAAAAATGATAAAAGGCACGTGTAAGTGAAAATAAACTACGCATGAGCATTGAATAAAAGCCCTTCATGTGCCTTTTATCATTTTTTACGATTATTTACTGACTGTCAGGGGAGATAAGCATAACTTTTGTCGATTTTTACAAATGTTTTACAGCAATCTTATCATTTAGATTTATCCAAATTGTCTTTAGTTACAAATGGCATGCAACATAAATTAACGTCATTTCTAACATTGCGATTCAATATGACTGTGGTGATTTCTCAGGAGCCTTAAACGTTTATTTTTAGAACTTGGTTTTTTAAATTTATTATATCTAAACAGATGCGTGACTAATGAAATGAATGGCATGCAGTATCTATTCACAAGTCTGAGACACTTGTCCTTGTAGTATGCGGGTCGTTTTACATGCAAGTTTCATTCGATTGTATTGTGACATAAATCAAGATATTGAAATGCGGGTAGTCTATTTTGAATCGCGCAAGTTGATTGATAAAAGACACACGTTTCTCGTGGAACTGAACTTTTAAACAAGAAACAAAAAGCGCACGAAAGAAGATTAACATTAAAAGTCTGGCCTATATACTTCAAAAAGAATTGTCAGCAATGAAAAATGCATTACGAGTTAGTAAAGTTATGATTTTATTTCGACAAATGTGATAGTAATGTAAAAATTATTGTTTGGGAATAAACGTCTTATTACTTACTTCGCGTATCTTGATACGTTTGTCTAACGAGTTCGTGGAAAGGATTTTTCATGTGGGTTACATGATAAGGTTCGTTCCACGAACGACAATAGTTTACAGTAATTCCAGCTGCTTCGAAAGACATTAGAATTGTAGTCGCAATCGTAGACATCTTATTGAACTCGAACATTGTTGAATTCATATATAAAAATGTTACCTGTGATAAATAAAATGTTTACAAAAATATATATATATCAGAGATGAAGCGATTTTTAATTTAATTTTACATTAATGTTATTAGAAACATGCACTTATCAAAGTGAACTATGGAGTATCACTCACTTTGGTCCAATTGAAAGCCAACAATACTGAAACTACGGATTTTGCAATTTGAGTATCTGGTGGCCTCGTTCTCGCAAACGTTGGAAATTCCTTTTTATTTGACGTTTCGTTATGTGTGCAAAACTAGAAAATACGATACTTGTCAGAAAATATGATACACTGTCATTGAAAGCTTTCATACATCTAATTTGTGTTGTTAAGTTTTATCTAATTATATATATGCTATCAATGCAAGTGAAGTACTAAAATTAATAATATGAGAAATGATTATACATATGATAACATTGGAATGTTGAATGCCGCCGCCATTCTGGCTTCATGGATGCAAGTTTCTTGAGGACCGACATACGCGGAAACGTTTCTTTTCCAAAGATCCGCCGTCATGAAAATGCTCATTTCTTCACTCCCATAAGTTTCGGCAATGAGAAAATCCAATTTATGTCCGCGCCTACTAAGTTCCCCGGCGTTTATCTGCATTTCAAGCGAAACTATTTTAAAAAAAAACATTTGAATAGAGAAATCAAAAGGAATATTAGAAAATAGTTAACTTTGTCTAATGCTTGTAAAAATATTATGCAATAATATGTTAGTTCTGTCGTAATTGGAAGCAAATCATTTTGAATCATTTCTCAAAAAATCTTTTTGAATTATTTCTCGACATTTTCTTTTTTAATTTCAAAGAGTCTAATATGTTTTAATTGATTGATGATAACGATATAAGATTCAACAAGAATAAACCGGAAGTGTTATTTCGTGGTGACCGCAAGTTATTCTAGTTTCGCGTAATTGACGTTCAATTAGATAATCATATTTCCGTGTGATTGAATTAAATTGCTAAATTTAATTATCCATTTCTGCAGTTTTAATCGCAGTTGCTCGTATTTAAGACATCAGGGAAAGTGAGAGAACCAAACGGTGAAAAAGATTACTCGCCTCCTCCACGGCGAGAGTGATAGCGCCAGATATCCGAAACCCGGGACGTTGATATTCAAGATCATCATCACGTCGTTTCGATCCGGTGATGTATCCCAAAGTAAATGTTTCGGCATCGACTCCTTTATCAATGAGCAAAACGTGGATCACCATCAAAAATAGACACATCCTTTCCACATTTGCCAATAGCATGCCCAGCTGTACGAAGCCTTCATGTGAAAAGTGTTGTTAATATATCATATCAGTTTTTACATACAAGGAAACATCGTGAAATCATCCGAAATTTTTGATTTGAGTGAACTTTTGTAGATATGTAGAGTAATTTAATATATGAATAATATAATATGCTAGTCGCCACTTAAAGATTGATATGATTTTTGAACTTAAAAACAAAAAACGCAATTTTTTCGCATATAACTCTTAAACTAATAAAGACAAATGTTTAAAATTAAAGTGTAATGATAAGTCAATGGGGATTACAAAATGATAAAAAAAATTTTTTTTAATTAAAAAGTAAAGAGAATTTTATTATTATGTCACTTTGTAGTCCTCAGCTTATACTTAAACTTTGATTCTAAACATTATTTGTCTCTATCTTTTGTTTAGTTCAAGAATTATATTGGGAAAAGTGAAAGCTTGCTTTGCTTTTGATGTCCATTCTTATATTGAATTGATATCGCATCGATTATGATCGATATTGATACGATCATGTCGATACCAATTCAACATCAATTCGACGTCTAATTGACGGTCATTTCTTCGTCTTTGCTGGATAATTAGCAATTTATTGATAAAAAATAAAATAGATTGTATATTTCTCAAAATTATTGTAAAAAAATATGCAATATAATTAAATAAAATATGATATTTTAAAAATAAGAAAATTAAAAATTGTATGTGTATAACGTTTGTGTTATGATATAATGAAACAATGAACTGCGTATAATATTGTTTATTAACAGTTCAAACATAAACGAGTTTCACGTGTATTCCTGATTTTAGAAGCTAAATTTCTCGACTGTACAAATATTTTTTGTGCGTCCATACAATTTTTAATTTTCTTATTTTTAAGATATCATATTTTATTTAATTACATTGCATATTTTTTTACAATAATTTTGAGAAATATACAATCTATTTTATTCTTTATATAATGAATATAATGGACTGTTTATAGCATATATCAAATACATTCGGTTGTGTTTATCTTTCTTCATTCATCGATATGAGCATGAGTTTGAAAGTAGGTGCCTGTGGCACTATATGGATAATGGATGAAACCAGTAAGCTCCGCGGGATCGCAATAAACCTCAGCAATCTCCTGTGGTGTGTAACTTCTTTTTTGTCGATATTTTCTTTGCGCTTTTATTCGAGAATTCGAACTTTCTTTCGTTGCGATATCATTCATGCATGCGACTTTTACCAACGTAATTATTCTTCTTTTATATTTTATAATATTTTAAGTTGCAATAAATCAAACTACTAAAATCTTTCGTTTCATCCCAGAAAAAAAATATTGCAGATGATAACTTTTATAAATTTGAGTGTATTTCTTAGCTATAATAAATGCAGTTATTGCATTGACTAATTTCCGACACGTAATCGTTTTTTTTTTTAAACTATAAGGAAAAGTCATAATAAGCGAAGTACTCCGAAGTTTATTGTTAGTCACAAAGATTCATAAACGTCCCCGAAAAAATTATGTTCTGCTTTCGGCGGCGTAACACGTGACAATATCACAGTATGTGGTGAGTATTGGAATTCAGAAGGACCGTCGACGTAGCGCGGCTACAATATTTATTGCAAAATCAATTCTCACCAGCTCTCGGAAGCGTACACGTCAGTCATGCGTTCTCCGACTCATTATATTAATAGCGATCTATTTTAACAAGACGCTAAAACTATCGGGTCGTTGAACAAAACGAGACTGGTCACGAGGTGATTCCTATGAGGTGTGTTGCGTAACTACGTCAAGGCTACTCATTCAAGAATGGTCGAAAGATTCGCGAAGATCGTATTATATATTAGTTGCGTTGCATAAAAGAAGCAAGCGTGTCTCTTGTATTGAGTTATACCGATTGATCGATAATTCTTTGGTGAGACTCGCCCCTGGTTCTACAGCATAAATTCTGTATGACACGAATTACCACGGTCATGATCGCGCGGCTGTGTATGTGCGACTTTTTAATAGAAATTGCACTTCGTCGATTCGTCAGTTTCGATGTTCGGCAAACCGGGATCCAGCTAAAAAGTTCATATAACAAAACGTGGGTAAATGTCACGCGAGGTAGAAGATAATTCGAGGGAAGAGTGCATGTCGCAACGCGAAGCATTGCACGTGAACACGCGTTTTGTCCAAAGGCAGCGAATCAATTAACCCCGACAGGACTGACCATTCGTTTCTTAAATTGCCTGTTGCATTGCTTTCACTATTTACAAGTGTATTCGAGAGTTGTAAATTTCCTTGCACATGAAAGAAAGAATATAATTGTCTGTTTATCTGATGGGTCACTTATTACATTTGAAAAATTATTGGCATTGATAAATAATTGATAGAATTACGAATGCAATCGCACATTATTAATTTAGTGTATATATAAAACTTTCTACATGTTATAAAATAGTGATAAAAAAAGTAGGAACACTCATGAAGTAAACCTATACATTTCTTCTTGAAAAGATTATTTTTATACTTTTCGATATATGGTATTATTTTGCAAATCTTTTAATTGCTTCTTGTTTCTTGAATCCTGATTATACTGATGTATATCATATCCGGATAAATTTTCTTTAACGCCTTTCACAGAAGAACTTTTCTTGAGATTTTAAAGCATATACTTTGTGACCTCGATTGCTTAAGTTCTCGAGTGACAAACTGCGGATCTGTCGTTTAATCTTAAGACCTGTCGACTTTTGACAGTCAATTCTGGTTCCCGCGTCAAAACGTAGCGTGATCAACTCGCATACCCGATTGCAACGCAATTGGGGAATTAACGAGCCGCCGTTGAATTAATGTGGTTAACGGAACGCAGGTACAACTTTTTCGATAAAGCTATGTACCTGAAAGCGATTTACCCATCAGTTTTAGTTGCTGTAATCAAGTAATTTTTAAATCGCAGTTAATATTTTTAAATTAAATAATCAAACTTTAGTTTTGTTCGGCTAGAAGACAGTTTTTAAATTGTGTTATACCTTTTAAATATGTCTATTTTGTATATTTATTTTTAATATTCCAGAAAGAAAATAAAAATAAAATTAGGTATATAAAACCGATCAATTAAAAATGCATTATTTAATATACAAATAAAAAACTTTATCTTGATCAGAATAAACTTTAATGAAGTTAATTTAATAAGTAAAAGAGTTTTAGAGATATGAGAGATTCAACAAGTGAAATAAATAATGTTTCTAGTCGATTCTCACTCGGTTCTTTCTGATGGATAGGAAACTCTCGTTAGAATAAAATGAATTTTTTTGTGATTTATTCGATTACGCAGAATTAAACGCTCTCATCGCGATCAATTCATTTTCGTATGCGAACAATTCGTTTAAATAACATTAGCTTCAAACATTAATAACGTTTTTGTAAATGTTCGATCGTTGGTTACTGAATAAAACATGTATATGAAATACGTACATTCAAAATGTCAAACACGCTATTGCGGTAAAATCTAATTCCTTAATATAGGGTAGCTATTCACTCAACCTATTGGCTCGCGTTATATTTCTCGATCGCGCACGTGCGCTGTATGTTACATATTTCATATATTACATATATTGGAATTAATTGTTTTAATAACATATTCAACGCGCATTTTACCATTTCCGCTTCCACGTTCTGTTCGATTAATAAAATACGTATCTCGATGGTCGAAATCTATTAGATTATTGAAAAGTGTTTTATTATATTGTAATGCATAAATTATTGTCTTTCGATTTATCAAATCAATAAAGCACGCACATAAAATACAAATGTTAAATTTAATTATATTAATGTTTTATCATGAACATTAATTATACAAAAGTGAAGCAATTGTTTTTGAAAGATAGCGACAAAGTGGATCTGTTCCTACCAGCTGTGTGTCTACCATATCTATTTTACCAGAGTAAAGTATCTTTACAAAAGTAAAATATATTTTAATCTACAGCTATTTACATTCTCCATAATGTGAAATAAACTATACATGCGTCGATGGAAGTTAGCGCTTTACACATCGAGTCACAAATGCGCGTCCACAGGACAGAGAAACGTGCCCAGAGGGTGACTTCGCGATGAGAGAATTTCAAAATGGATTTACATTTTATTGCGAAACCGGAGTATGGAACGAAACGCCAGTGATCGTGTTTGGGCGTCTCTCCTGGGGTCATTTTGACAGCGAGATCGACATCGCGCGTAAAACTCATAACGCTGATTACAGTTGACAAATCTGATCCGCAAGGGTTTTTTTATATCACTCTAAAGAGAAAGAGAAAGAGAACGAGAAAGAGAAAGAGAAGGGGGGGGAGAGAGAGAGAGAGAGAGAGAGAGAGAGAGAGAGAGAGAGGGAAGACTGAACCGTATGGTAGGCACAATTTATCGTGTCTCACATGATTCGTTTGTTTCATACTGTTGTCATTCGTGATTTACAATTGCAAATTTTTCCCGTTGACAATTGGAAAATGAATTTTTCTTTTATAGCGTGATAAAAATATGTAACAATACGACTATTTGTGTCAAAATTAATTTCATTAATAGTGACATTTGAGAAATTGATGGAGAAACAAATGTTATTAATAAGGATATTTAGATAGTTTAATATTGTTTATGAATTAGGTCGAGGAAATAAGTTACTGTATGCGCCAAAATTATTCCTCGTAATTATTTTTTATAGCTAATAATTATAATAAAACATTATTTTAATTGCATAATATAATTACGTATATTCTTTATCTTTCTCTCTGGTAGATATTATCGAAATTATAATAGAAAATTCACTATTTTTGTATTTCGGTATATAATTTTTTTTTCTTTTTTTTTAAGTAAATCCTCTATGCACACAATAAATTATTATTATTCCGTGATATTATCGTTTTAATATAACATATGTTATATCATTTATAATATTCCGCTATTATCCCCTGTGCCGAGTGTATTCGATAAACTGTTTTATCGCGCATGATCAAATCTATCGATTCGGGACATTCTTTATGCC